CACCATTCTCTCCTGTCAGGCATGATACCCACCTCCTTCCCAGAATGCTGTGTCAGCCCTGCCTCAGTATTCTATCCTTGGAAACAGACTTCTTTTTCTTGATAAACTTATGATATCCAGTAATTTCTTGATGTGTCTGACTGGGTATGCTCTTTCCTACTTCAGGTATATATTCAATTTTCTCTTCTGGCATCTTCAGTGTCAGGTCTGAGCTTGGTCAAGGAGTAATTTTGTGAGTTTGCAGCATTCCTCATTAACAGCATTCCTCATTTGTTCCTCTTGGATCTGTCCCCTGCTCACCTCCCAACAGAACTCCTCCTCCTTCTGCCTCTTCCCAAACCTATACCAGAGATTTTCTGTTAAGGCTAATGGATTAAGTATTCACATCCCATTGCTTCAATCATGTGCTCCCTCAGCAGCTCTGTTCCATCCTGTAATTCCACTTCTCTGCTGTGTAAACTCACTAAGTTCATTTACCATTTATACTCCTGTAGTGTTCTGCTAAATTTCACTGAATACTGTTCCACTTGCTCAGCCTCTGCCGGGCTCAGGTAGAGTTCTGTGGGTTCTTCTGGCTGCCCTCTCCTTTGAGTCCACCTGGGACACCAGGGCATGGGGGCAGCACAAAAGTGTGGAAAGCAGCAGTTATCAGACTCTATTAACCAGTGGAGCCCTACTCATCCAGTGGGACCATTTTATTTTTTTCATACTTTGTGCTTATGCTAACATTTGCACAGATGCTAAAATCTGTTTTATTTTAAAAATAATTTTCCTTCTACATTTTTTTTTCCTTTTTGTCTTGTTCTATGAAAACTATTTCCAATGACTATATCTATTTATACCACATTTTCTCACCCATTTTATTTATTTGAATATACAGAATCTAAATACAGGGGCTAAACTTCCTGGCATTGCCCCTTTTAGTCTCATAGTATTGAAAATAAATACTGAGAACCTGAAGGGATGCATCAGGTCTGCTACTGAGGGGATGGATTGCTGATGTGACAGAAACTGCTGCATATGAAAAGGTGATATATGGAATGGAAAGTAAGTCAGATGAATTTGAAGGTATTTGTAATCTATTCTCCAGCTACATCAGAAGAGATGTCCTGAAATATGATAGAAGATAGTGGAGAAAGGTTGAAGGGTGAATGAAAGCTTTTGTTTCAAAAGGTAATAATAATAGCAACTTATCTCCCTGCTTTTCTATTGCTGTATTTTCCTTTTTCTTTTATTTTTCTTCCTTCCTGGGAGATAAGGATGGGCTGCAGTTATACATGAAAAATAAGTGAAAGTCACGTAAATTTTTCAGTACATGTGTTCTGTTTGCAAGAAGACAGCCTAAGAATATGATTAAAAAGAGAAATAGGAAGACATGTAAGCATGTAAAAATCCATTCCAGACAGTAGATGTATGCAACTTTCTGGAATCTATTGGTGGAGCATGTATTAAATGTCTTCAGTTGATCTGATACAGGTGTAGCGACTACCACGGGCCGATGTCATTAATTGTAACATTCTGTAGGAGTAATCAATGAACTCTGTTTCCTGCAAACAGTTTCACCTTTGAGCTATTAGTGCTGAAATGAGGAGGGTGCAGTATATACTTACATAAAGAACTTAGAATCTATTAGCTCCTGTGCTGAGCACTAGAGCTGCTGATACTTTGCATGCAAATTGTAGTCATCATCTGAGAAGAAGCAGAGTTCATAGGTTCAATATTCTCTCACTTTCAATCTCCTATGTCAGCTATGTCTTAACCAGCTGGGGGCAGAATTACATTCTGGAAATTAGTGAGGAAAAAAAAGGTAAAAATTGAAAATCTACTGTTTCTGCATCTAGCCTCCCCATTCATACGTTACAAGTCAGCATAAAAAATTCTAGCAAGTATAAGTGATATCTGATTTCACATTATATTTTTAAAGTGTCAGTACTCAAGCAGGTTTACATTTGACAGGTGATTTAAATACTTCAGGACATTTCTATAGTCATAAGAAAAAATCTTTATGAGGATAAAAAACTTGATGAAAATATTAATTTTGTACAAATGCAAGGAACATTACTACTCCTTTTTATGTGCAAATGTATGAGGCATTATATTCATCTTTATAATTTTTCTAAATATTTCAATGCTTGAAGCTATTTCAGGGACAGATAATTTATATTGTTTATACTATATTTATCTTCTATACTGGTTATTGAATGCTATGCTCTGAGTATACACCTTATTATGATTCTTGCAATCTTACCATAATGCTGAGATAGACATATCTGTATTTCTGTAAGTCTTCTAATGATTTTACCTTTGGTAAAGAAATGGTGGTTTTTTTCACCTCATGCCAAAATAACATTTTTATTTCCTACAGCAAATATATGGCTCAGCTGTCTCACAAGATTTCATACCTTTTCCCTCACCTCTCTCTCAAAAGAAACAATTGTGATGGTCTCTATGCTCAGTTTTTGAACATCATGAAACAGTTCTCTGTTTAATCCTATCTGAAATAATATTAAAATAGGTCTGTTGTGACCCTTGCAACTCAGAAAGGAGACAGAAAGATTACAACCATATGCAAGCAGAGTAAAACAGTGCACAGAGTTAATGAAACAGTATTGAGAAAAGCACTCCTATGGGCAACAAATATTTTGCATCCCTGGCTCACTTTGTCAGTAGGTTCATGGTAGCTCACCCATGGAATGGTGCCAGTGTGTTTTGAGTGTTTCACACTTTATATAATTTTCATCCCTGGCTGGTCAAACTGACCAGGTTAAAGAGATGAGAGAAAATTACTCCTCAACAATATAATGATATATGATGTCACTGAAATAATACAATGTTGTAACTAGATTCAAATTCTGACTAGATGAACATGTAGCTCCTTCTAGGTTCTTTGTTTGTGAACATGGACTACAGTACTTAAATCGTCAAGTGAGGTCTCCCAAAATGTGAGAATCTGGGCTTTTGCTTTATACCAGTGAAGATAAGAATGGTCCACAGGATTTGAGTTTACTTAAAAATCTAGCAATTTTCAAATATTTCTGAAAATTCAGAAATTTTTGTTTGGGCTTATATTTTGTTGAAAGCGTGTCTCTCTCACATATGTGAGAAACATTACAATGAAAATAATATTTTACAGTTAAAATGAATGGTTGTTTTAAGTTATTTTCTCCCCTTTGGATTTTCCAACCAAAGACAACAGCACTAGGATTGAACCAGAGGTTTTATTGCTATCAGAATAGCTTGGCTTGCCACTGAGGAAGGTTGACCTGTCCAGATGTTACTCTAGGAATATATAAATCGTTATCATTCTGGGATCTGATTTTCAAAATCACTCTCAGTGTAGGCCTGACTCTGCCTCAGTGTACCTTGAAGCAGATGATTATGAACACCTCATCATGTATCAGCCCTTGTCATTGCTTTCAGTTAACAGAAAAGACAAACCAAAATAGAGTAATCATACAAATGGAAGATCACTGACACCATTCAACTTTATTTTATTGTGGCCATGTCTCCTAAAGGACTGTTTTGATCCTGGAGTAAGGACAGAGTGACCTACACTGACCCAGGAGAGCACAATCATCTGCTGGCTCTTGTTAAGTCAGAAGATAGCTCATTTACTTCTCTGTACAAGGAAATTGAGCACATGAAATCTAAAGCAGTCAACCTGTTTGGCATCTCAGAGATTACAAATACTAATCTCACATCAAGTTTTAACTTAGTCTATAACTTTCTCTGCTTCTTTTAGAGAAAACTGGGGCTTTGATTTAGATCTTTCTTATCTCATCAGCTGTCTCCATAAAAACAGTAGGAATACATTTTTGGAGCCCTCAAGTTCAAACTGACTAATGGTTCAGCCTTTTGTTGAAGAGAAAGTAAAGGGGAGAGAAAAGAAAGATGGAGAGACAGGCAAAACTGTTACATAAAACTTATTTCCATAGGAAGCCAAGTTAAACTGTCTTTATCTGTAGGAATGGTAACAGTTATGTAATTCTCCAGCTTACTTGAAGAGGTGATTAGCTGTTCCTAATTAAGCATTCAGCTACAGCCCCATTATAAGACATTTCCCCTTCTCCAACCACTCAGTCATAAATTAAAAAAATTAAAATGTTAAAACGCCCCACCAACAAGTCCAGAAAATCCCTCTACATTCACATTTTTAGGGTTAAAGCTTACTGACAAGTTGAGTACTTTATGAAGATTGTGATTAAATTGAGTAAGTACTTTTTAAGATTAAAGTACTTGAAACAGCTTATTTTAAAAATATTTGCAACACCTATTGTTCCTTTGTATCCATCTCTGTGCCAACAAAATCACATAATACCACAGAGTTTGAAACATAAGTAGATTTCAAAACTGACTGTGCAAAAGTCAGTTTTAGGGGCAGGAACAGGAAAATATTTAAGAAATATCTCTATTTGAAAAAAACATGAGTGATTTATCTACCTATGAAAATGGCAAAGAAGGAAAAAGAACCCCAGAAAACAAAATACTTTCATCATCAGGCTCTGCATTGCACTTAGGTGTTTCTGAAATCTCTTTTTAAAGCTCCCATTGCTCTTCAAAGCTCCTGTGGAAAGCCACTTTTCCAGGCAGAAACCAGAGGAATAAGAAGGATTTCCTGACGAGGTGGCAGAGCTGGGGAGGGAACCCAGATCTGTGTGTCCTTCTCACTTGGCTGCTTTTGTTGGCAGCAGCTGAGGAAGCTGAACCACCCGTGTGATTCTCTGCAGACTGCATGCACTGCGATAGCCAAAACTCATGAATGTTCTTACTTTGCAGTGTCTTCTTGTGCCTGGCAAAAGCTGTGGTGAGTGGGTACCTCATTAATAGGAAGGGATCTTGGGCTTTATTTTGCAAAGTCATCAGCTGTGACTTCTTCTAGGTAAGATGCGGGTTTCCATGTGGTGCTGTGCTGCTGTGATTTATTAAATTTCACCCATTCTTGCCTTAGAATTGGGAAAATTAAGCCCGTATGTGTTATCACGTGATATCCTGTTCACATTCTACTTTTTACACTATCTCAATTTAATTTATCTTCACTTATATTAAAGGTTTTCGTCCAAAAGCTCTTTCCTATAAACCATACCAATAAATTCAATGCAAGGAAGGCGAGACATCAGCTTTTCACTCAGAGGAATAGAGCACAAAAGAGGAAGCCTTCAAGATCCTACTATCCATCCTTTTACCTGATAAGTATATAAAGAACATAGTATTAAGAGTAAGGGCTGAAGAGTTAATGTCTTGCATTAATCTCCCCCGTTATATTATGTTAAGCAATATCTTCCTCAAATGACTGTACAATGCAGTACTAATAGTAAAATAAGTTTCATGTCAGGATTTAATAAGAATTGTAGCCGTTGAATAATTTTCTTTATTTAAATGCATGACAGAAGTGCATCCCAAATAATATAAATACATCTGCTTTGAAACTTGCTGAGACTGGTGGGATTGGTGAAAATTTACAGCCAGACCACTCAACAAAAGATTCCTCAGTTTTCTCTCATCATGCACAATTATGAGTTTTGACTTCAAATACTTATAATTACAGTATTCTGAAATGATGTCCTAAATATATATGTTTCACAGCATGACTGTGACTTCCAGCAAATTCTCTTGTCTGAGGTGCTTGGTAAAGTAAAACTGAATTAGTGAGAGTACAATAAGCAAGTTACAGTATTTAGATACAATAACCAAAAATAAAGTCAATTTAATCTTCCAAAGTAGGACAGCTTTTCAGTGTATTTGTGACTATGGCGATTTAGCAGTAGATTCCAACTTGCATTTTAATAGCAAACTTACATAATTGTGAGTCCTGGTGTGGTACTGCTGAGTGTATTCAGGATGGAATTACTAGTTAGACAGATCCTGCTTAGCCTTGTAGTTAAAACATGCTAATAATTTACACATGTGTGTGACAGATGATAATAACCATCTTTATAATCACCTTTGGATATCTATTTTCTTCCTTGCTCAACACTACCTAAAAAGGAAAATCAGTATTAGTGGTCAAGGAGATTAACAGTAAAGATTCTTGGGGTGTAATTTTTTTATCATTTAGCTAGTTTTGTCAATGAGAATGTACAATATTTTTGCAACATATAATTTTAAATAAGTGCTTTTAATTTATTTATTAGTTTTCCTATTTATTTATTTGTAGACAATATGTATTTGTGCATGTACATAAAGATATTCACAAGGAAAAAATATTAGATGCATTTAAGAGATTTTTGGGTGCTCAGACTTAGTAAAGTATGGAGGATATTTTTTGTTTTGACAGAAAAATTATTTGATTTTGGCAATATTAGTTGCATATGCCTTCTTCATTCCTACATGATTGATTGTAACCAGTGCTAGTCATTACATAACTTGAGACAAATGTTTTGCTTTAAGTTTTCTATGCCTTAGATTCTCTAGTTGAGGAATGGTTGAGGAAAAAATCATCTACTTCTCAGGGTGTTGGGAGGCTTAATTAAGTGTTTATAAAGCATTTTAAGACTTTTGCATGGACAGCATTACAGGCATGTAATGTAATACTATTATTACTGTATATTGAAATTACTTTTTATCTCTGGCAATTTCCCACTAGTTTAGAAAATTAGTCTAATCTAAAATATGGGCCAAATATATAGAATTGCTGCAATTGCTTTAGTAAAAGTTCAATGATGGACTCATTTTGACTTTTATCTTCAATAATCTTTCCTTAGAGTCTCCCAGAAACACAGAACTGGAGCTATGCTTCTAATTGTTGGCTTCAGGCTAAAACTTTTGATCACTTTCTTTCTCTACTTTCTGTTAAACTCACTGAATGAAAAGGCTTGATAAGATTTTATACTGTCTAATTCATTATTTTGGGGAATATGAAAGACAAATTTGACCTTCCGAATTTTCAGTCTAAACTTTGGTAACAGGGAGCATTCTCATTCTTGTTTTCATTCATATTAATGCTGCATCTATCTCTTTTGCCCTGTAAAAAGCCATTAATATTGTTCTATTAACCTCTTTCTAAGTAATAATGACCTTTCCCCTGAAAATGTAATTATTGGACTTTTTTTTCCCACAATAAATCTCATTTATTTGAAAGTTTGGCCTTGTGCACTTTCTCTGCCATTTCCTTAAAAAAAAAAAATCATGCTTTATTTTCAAATAAGTACATTATTTTTATGCAGAAGGGTGTTCTGTAGTGCATGCACTTGGTCATAATTGGAGAGGAGGTGATGATGCTCAGTTTGATTATTTCTCTGCCTTTAGAAAGAAAAAAGCTGTAGTGACCATCTTCTGCATTCCTTCATTTCTCACCAGTGGCCTGGCTGTTTGTAGCTGCAGTTTTTTGCAAATAATTTCTGGCCAGGTCAGTTTGGCTTTTGCTGGTGTCCAGCTCAAACAATCTCTGCTTCAACAGACAGAGCTCCTGTGCCCTTTCTGCAGCAAACAGTGATTGTTTCCAGTGTTACCTACAAAACCTTTTTCACCATTAGCTCCTGAGAGGAGGAAGGAGGAGAAAAGTGGCACATCTCCTGATGTGTGTGGCAATGCAAACTTCTGAAGGTACTGGAGGGGAGGCAGGGGAAGAGCTCTCATTGCACTCCTGATCTTCAAGCTGTTGCTTTTGCCAGGGGAGATGATGAGAAAACTTTCCTGTATTCTAAAGAATTCAACAGTAATAAAAGCATCTACAACATCTCCGTATCCTTGGTGAAGGAGCGGCTGTAGCAGAGGGAATTTTCTTCAATCCAGTGAAACAATGCTAAGAAGCAGTGTAAAGAGCAGTATTATTGTCCTGGTTCTTCTCCATTCCCCATTCTACTCTTGTTGGAGGAGTTGGTAGCTGGTTGAGGTCAGATAATGGAGGAACTTTTCCTCTTCTCTGGCCATTTTCTTTCCCAATTATGAAGAATCCTATAAGAAGAAATGTGCAAATCCATGTAGTTTTCCCTTCCTAGGCAGGTAAGAAAAACATCTGTAATCACGTATAGGGGAAAAATATTTTTGTCGTTATAGCTCTAGGATGGAAAACAGAAAAAGCAGATTCAGAGTCTGGGATAGGGGTTTTGGGTTTTTTTTTTTTTTGTTTTTTTTTTTTTTTTTGTAATTGGACCTATCAAAATACAAATTTCTGAAAACATTAACTTAAATAAGGGTAGAAATTACAGGCTGCATATTAGGATATAGAAAGTGAGGCTCAGTCTTGGAGGATTCTCCAAGAATGCCAGAAAATGGATGTTAACTGTGTACCATGGACAGAGAGAATGTACCTCCATGTATTCTCCCCATTGATCTTCCAGATTATTCAGACATGTTGTAATGAATATTAACACAGAAAAAAGACTTTGTACCAGGTAGGTAGGTAGACATGAAACATACCATATGCACAATTTTAATATGCAGAATTTTAAAAAATTATGTTTTTTCTAACATTTGTTTGAATTTCATCCTTCAGAAAACTGCATTTTCTTCATATTTCCTGACTCTGACTCATCAAAATGAGCTCTGCTAGTCACATCAAATGATGTGTTTCATAGAATAAGACAGGAAAAGCAGCACACTGAGTCACTGTCACAGGGAGGGTGGTTGCCAAACCCCTATTAGACAACATAGGGAAAAGCAAACATATTAAATGACTGGGGTCACAGAAACACAGTGTAGTGGCAGGAAATCACTTACAATCAGGTGAACATGAGTCTCTACATCTTTTTAGTCTGTTTTTTAAGGAAGTGAGACATGTGCTATCATGATGTTTACCTATCAGCTCCTGCCCCCACTAACTATGAAAGCTCTTGGCCACTCTCCATAAAATTTGTTGAGGTAGTAGAAGTCTCAGAAACAAAATGTTCTTAAGTAATTTCCTAAAAGCTGATGTTTGTACAAAGTGGGGAGTTATCTCTTGCATCCTCCTGAGAAAAGGGCTGTAATTCTGATGCAGCCATCACCTGCTCCATGTGCCATGCTGCGCTGGCCACTGTCCCACCTGCACTGGCTGACCTGGCTGGGGTCTCAGCTCAGCACAGAACAGCCTGCCCCTTGCCCCACAGTCACAGAAGAATTTGTGGGTGTTTTACACCTGGGTCATCCTTAGGGATGTGGCAGAGGAAATGGAAGTATGAGATGGCAGTGGAGACTTTATGTGATGTTACACTAGGCATGGTGATGACAAACAGTGAGAGAAAGTGGTGTGGAAAAAATAGAATTGCAATATAAAACTGCTACAAACCAGGATTCCTTTTTCCTGGTGAAAATATTTCAGTTCTGTCTAGGTTCAACAAGTTCCTTTAGTTTAATTTATAACCTTATTCTGAGTACTCAGGTTCTGCCCCTTCCTAGAGGCACTTAAGCTTCTGGTTCAGCTCCCTTAGGAATGAAGGTCTGTGCAACAACACTGTTTGTCTCCTGTGAGCAAAGTCAGTTGAAAACAAGGCCCAGATTTGATAAACTTGATTGAGGAATGGAAGTCCCTATTTAATTTCCTGTAAGTTTAATGAAAATGAGTAAGTGGCTAGAAAAAATAGTTTATGCTAATTATCCCTCAGCAAGCCAAAATCAGCTGGCTAGACAAACAGCCTTCTCCTGGACTAACTATAGCAAGAATTATCTTTTCTTTGCTGGGGTATTGTTCTGACAGGGAAAATGAAGGATATAGGATAAACATTTGTATGACATTGGCATTTCATTTGTCTTCTGCTGAAACAATCTGACTGCTTTGACAAAATTTTCATTTTTTAAATATGTAGGTGGGAAGAATAACTACAAAAACTATCACAGCATATAATTATTTCCTTTTTTTTCCTTCCATTGATTCATCTTTGAAATTTGATAACTGTCCATAATATCTGGGTTATTTTTTAGGCTGGTGATTTTTACAAATACCCTGATTCTCATTAGGAAAGCAACATGTATAATTCACCTGATTTACTTCAATTATTATTATATTTTAACAGACTCATGAACAGAAAGTGAAAATCTGGCAATTCCATTATAATAGCATGTTGAAGTGGATTTGATTTTCTTTTTATCACTATAAATTTGCTCATGTCTTCAACAGGCTTAAGGAGAAACAAAGACACACAAGCACACACATTCCATGACAATCTGGACTCAATAATTATAGAATATAAATTGTTACGCTGAAACCCCACTGTTGGCATTTGAGCCAGTTACCAAATCAAACCGATATTCTGCATTTTTTTCCTAGTAACTAATTCTTATCTTTAAATTATCTGGTAGGATTTTTTCTGTGATTTGCTTTTCTTTTCATATTGTTGGTGACACAGAAAGGAATTGTCATCGTAGAGTGTGCCATGTCCACTTACATCAGCATACTGTGGATTTTTGTTTAATGCCATGTATTATTGTAATCTGTCAGAATATAGCATTCCATTCATTACACAGCTCAGATTTTTAAATATTACTGGTGATGGAAATTTGCCAAATTTCTTCCTTAATATTGGAATTTGGGGGGATGCTTTACTGGGGTTTTACTCTTCTGTGTTCATAGGTAAATACCCACATTTCATATTATTGAGGCAACTGCTTATAGATGTGAGCACATTTATCTTCCACTCTAATATCACAGAGGACATAAGGGATAGGAGTTGTATTCCAAATGTACGTAGGAGATGGGAAAGGCTTTGTTGCATCTGCAAATTCAGTTAGCAGGCACTATTCTGTAACTGGTTTCTATTCTAGGATGTACAGAATAGGAACCAGTAGCAGTTTCTGCATCTCTGCACAGATGTCTGATGTTTAGAACTACCAGGACAGAAGGTCTGTGATTTCTTCTTTGCAGATTGACTTAACTGAAGAGTGAAATTTAACCTGGAAGTATTGATGAGAAAACATAGCTCTCACATCCTCTGATGAATGTAAGAGGAAATATTGGGTGAAAAACCCTTACAATTTCTATACAAGCTCAGGAGAAGGGGAAAAAGTAATGAGCATTGAGCCACATAGTCCTGAAGGGAGGACCATCCCAAGTTGCTTTTGTTAGTGAGCTCAAAGAAGGATTGCAAGGATTTTGGCTATCTGAGAGTGAAGATGTTGAGAAGGCAGCACTGGTGCCCATGATAGTCTTCATTTTGAGCATAGTTCAATGGTGCTTCTCTAACTTAACTGAGGAACCCTGTCAAGTACCCTGAAGTCATCAGGATGATGATGGGGAGCACCCTTTTTCTTATACTAGTATGCTCCAATCATAATTCACTTATTTTAAAAAAATTATTGCAACTATAAAACACAGCAGAAAAAAAAATCCTGTTATTTTCAGTCAGTCTTGTTATTTTTATTTTTAATTTATGACAATGGCAAAGAAAAAGAGACTATTAATTCATACTTTTTGGATGTGGAATCAACAAGACTGTGATTGGGTTCTTGCCTTTTCTACAGATAGTGCTCTGCATTGGTTGGATTAGCAAGGCAGCATTAGCAACAGTGGTGTTCTCTGAAACACTTTCAGTTTCTATAGCAGGCTGCTTTTTCTCCTGGACCAAATTTCATTTGAACTTTTGGTTGTGTCTGATTTTGGGAGGTCAGTCTGTGACTCTAGGTATCAAATTCATATGAAAAGAAGTTGCAATGACACTCAGTTTTCCCTGAAAAGCCTTATTTTGAGAATATGTGCAGTCGCTGCAGTAATGTATGTCATTTGGTAACTACTTTGGAAGGTAACATCCTCCACCCCACAAATTTTGCCTGTCATATGCTACTGAGCAAGTCCACACAAAGCTCTCTGTGATCATTCACCTTAAATATATTTTCTTATTTTCAGCAGAAGAGGACTGCAAACCTTCCTTCACATGGTATAGCCTGGCTCACTTCCTGCCTTGGAGAAGATTGTTTCAATACCTGTGAGCACGTGCATTACAAGAGACAGACTTGCTCCTTCCTGCATCAAAAACTGAGCTCTGAATATTTCTCTGGGAACCTTAAGCACAGAGAATTAGCACAGAATGCCTTCCTATCCCTGAAAGAAAAAAGGAGTTGACTGAGGCAGCACCACAGTGACAGGCTGAGGACCAGATCCACATGGCTCAGGAGTGAAAGAGAGAAATGAAACCAAGGCCTCCTACAGCAAATTTCATCCTACGTCTCTTCTCCCTTTCCCATACTAAACTGTATTGTCTTAATCTGGAAACATGATTTATTTCTGAAATATCTAGTGGGTGGCAGAGGTGGGGAGCAAAGCTTCACAAAGCTCCCCAGAGCTGCTGACCGAGGTAAATAGTGTGTCATAACACATTTATCAAATAATAATGGAAACCGTATAGAGCACATAGGAGAGGGAGGGGGAAACACCATTCCCCACTGGGAAGTTACTGAATATTTCAGCCAGTTTATAAAAGTATGTGTACATGTGTTTGGAAGGGGGGAGGTTTTTCTAGCTTCACCTCAGCAAATAAATCATTGGCGTGGGATGTCTGAGCAGACAAGTGAAATGGATGAGCGCATTATGGATCAAGGAGGTGGGATTCCTGCCTTGGTTAGTTTGAGACAGACCACCCAAGCACTGTGGGTCTTAGATGAGACTATAAGTAGTGCTTGTAGAGTTCTGAAAGGCCGAGGCTGCAGCATCTGACATGGTGCGAAGGTGGGGAATAAAATAAAATGGATGGTATTTCCCATATAGCAGGCATGACTTACCTGAGCTGATGTTGTTCCTAGTATTTTTTTTCCTTTGGCTGGATTTCCACTATAGATAAAATGAAAAGGAGAAAATATGACAAAGGTGTAATAGTTATGCCTGTTTTGAAAATAAATTAAAGTTTAGGTCAAGTAAAAAAAAAAGAAAATAAAAATTTAATGATGATGTATTTGTACATTATTCACTGTTTGCCACTAGTCACTTTCAGAATACAGAAGCCATAGTGAGATACTCCCATTGAAATTAAGAATCATGCATCATAACTGGTCTACTGAAGTCATCAAGAATTACTTCTGGAAAAAGACAGCGATTCCATGTGAATAAGGCTTACAGAACATGGATGAACATTACCAAAAAATACCCAAGTTAAAAGGAGCCAGCAAAGACAGTATCTTTATAAATATATGTATAGTTAATACTCTGGAATTTTTGCAAGGAAGATATAGTTATGAAGTTTGGAATGATCATCTTTAACAGGGAAACCTCTTGTAGTGCAACTGATCACCTTTTTATATTTATACATGTCAATCGTGATTGAAGGCTGATCAGTCTACATATAGTATGAATTAGATTAATTTTAGATTGTAAGGAAGCAAAATAGGAAACATAGAAAATTATCCGTATAAAATTATCCTATTTTTATTTTTCTAAGAAAAAATGTGATCTTGATGTTTTTCTACTATAATTTAAAAATTTTATCATGTTTAAAAATTTTGAAGGAATATTGGAAGTTTGTACCAACATTTATCTTATAGTAGACAATCTTAAATTGCTTTAAAATTATTTTAAAACTGTTGCTAAAAAAATTCCAAACATGTTTTTTTAAAAAAATGTTGTTTCCCACCCATGGAATACCTTTCCTCCTGGCTTGATAACATCTGAAAGCAATCCATTAGCGTTTGCAGCCACATGCAGCCTCCCACCCTGCCAGGTCAGACACTGCTTTTGCTTGGCGACTGGGCCAGAGGCTGTAAGGTGAAGCCTTGGGAAAGCTCAGCTTTAACACCTGCCAGGGGATGGCCTGGCCACACAGGGGAGGTGCTGCTGGTTTTCAGCTTCAGCATTAATAGTGTGTCTACCTACATCTCCCCTGAAGTTTTGATTTGGTGCAGTATCATTCATTTGGTGCTTTAAATTGTGTAGTGCAACTTTTTCTCCCCATGCTCTTGAATGTCTGCTCTGTTTCAAAAGTTGCTGAGTTTTGCCTGCAAGAGAAGATTTTTTTTTCCCTCAAGTTTTAAGGGGGACTAACTGTTCCTGGGCAGGGGATGAACAGATGGTGTTTGTGCTGGAGAACAAGGCTGCAAGAGACTGGAAAGAATCCTTCTCTGCCCAAGGGCTTTAGGCACCCAAGCAACTGATCTACAGCCAGTGCTATAAACCGGGGGCTATGGTTGCAGCTGTGATCTCTGCATGAGATTTACAGCCCCTGGATTTGCCCCTGCTGTGTTCCCAGCCTGACTAAAGCAACTTGCTACATTCCCAGCATATCCTTGCAGAACATGTTGCACATCAGGCTGGGGGATATTTTTGAGGCTGTTCCACAACTCCATCAGTTCATGTAGTCTACCTACAGCCTGGCCACTGGTGGGAAAGTTCTTCCCTGTCTCAAGCCCATTCTTGCCACTAAATGTGGTGTTATCTAGGTTCTTAGCTACAGTAGTGATTAGTTCTCTAGATACTAATAAAAAAGTAAAAAAAAAATGCCAGGTACTGCTGAAGTAAAAGGAAAATTCCCTTTTAAAAAGTTTATTCAGGGTTTTGTTACCACTGAAACTATTGGGATATTACCCTATTTTTCTACTGCTGGTGTCTGTGCACTGAGGCTAATTGCACTCATTTGTGTAGAAGTTTAGCAGTTAAACAACTGTACAGTGAGAGAGAGGACAGAAAAGAGAGCTGCCCTGAATGGCAGAAAAGCAGCAAGACAGAAAGGGAAGATCTGTGATCCTGTGAATCCCCTTGCCTTCTCTGCTCCCTTTTCTAGAAGTTTCTCCATCAAGAGGTCCTTTGTAAAGGACCCTTCTTGCTGTGTCTGCTGTGCACCTCCTTAGCACTTTCTCAGCTTGCCATGTTTAAGGCAACCTCAGAGAGTGAAACCCATGCCTGATAACTCTGCAGCTAAATTAATATGTAAGAAATGCAGTATTAAAAAGGGCCAGAAAAGACTGATTTGTTGTTGAAAGCGTTGTCTAATGCATATTGTTGAAAGGATTCTTCTATGCAAAGAAGACAGGTTTCCTTGACATAAAGAATAGGCCTTGATCCCATAATTATTTTGGCAGGTGCTTAATTCCCAAAGTGTGAGTTATCCTATGAAATTCAATGCACATAGTGAAACAAAGGAGTGGGAAGGGAGGAGGAAGGGATTACATATGCTGAGAGAAAGGCAAGAGGGGCTCTCTGAAAAAATGGGTCTGAAAGGAGGATTGAAGGAGGAGAGGAAAGGTGATTGGCGGATGAGAACAGGAAAGCAATTCACATTTGAAGTTGAATCAGCAGTTGCTGACATGAATGTGACACTAATGGAAAGAATTTGGAAAAAGAAGGGATATAAGGTAATAGATTTGTTCTCTTCAAAACATTCTGTGTGCAGGTAATAACATGTAGAGTTTGTTTATAATAACTTAAAGTGACATCTTTTGGTTTCAAAGTGAATTCATGGTCAGAAACAAGAAATTCCACAATTACCAGTTTTTCTTTCGCTTTCCTTCTTTCTTGAAATTTATTTCTGGAAGTCATTAAAATTCTGATCCCATCACTTGTAACAAATGATGTGAAGTGTTAGGTACAGTACTTGGAATATATGTTTGTTAAAATGAAGGAAGAGACTCTTCCAACACTTTGGGATTTTATGAATGATTTACATCTGGTGCTAAAGTTCATAAATGAAACGTGGGAGAACCAGATGCTTCATTTCTTGACTGCATCGTGTCTGCACATACTGATGGTGAATTGAAAACAGGAATGTCTCATAAATCAAGAAAATCTATTTTTGTACTCTTGATTTCTATTCTGAACATCCATATAATGCCCAAACAAAAGTGGTAAAATTGGTTCCTTGAGAAACCCTTTATGTTTAGTAACAGTGTGGACATGTTAATAAAAAAGCAAAAAAAAAAAAAAAAAGAGAGAGAAAAAGGATCAAATTTTCAGACTAAAAAGTGCTCACTCATAATGATCAACCATTCTTGGAGATAAACATTGAAGACACTTCATTTAGCAAGAGAAAGACTGAATGGAACTTCTGGGCAAACTCAGTTGGCCATACAAAGAGCTGTGGTGTATAGTAAGGTGACATTTCTCAGCTTTTGGCATTGATGGAAATTTACTGACATGATAAAAGAAGGCAGAATCTGGCCCACCAACTGAATAGGAAGATTGGAGCCCATATTTGGGGAGAGATGTAAAATAAAGATGTTTAATTTTTCCATCAATGTTTTGGAATGTGCTCTTAGCCTACCCTGTTTTCTTGTTGACATCTTCTACTGGCCTAAGAACTGTAAACAATGCATCTCATGATGTTTATTTAGTTGCCACTAAAACTTTTGTAAATAGGATTTTAAAATATACTTTATTGTTATAATGAAAGAATAAGCACATTTCTGTCTAAAGGGTTTTTTAAATAGAACTAATAGGTTCCCACTTCCTTGATTTCATAGTATGTGTTTATACACACATTTTAAATTATTATATTACAGTACCAAAACTACCTGTGAGAAATGGCAGGGTAACAATAACAATTTTGGATGAACAAGTTGTACCAAAGGGTTACCAAGTACCAGCTGATGCGTGGTAGTGCCCACGTGTTTCCTCTCAGCCTCCAACAAATGCAGGTGATTGGAGTGGGTTCAGTTCTCCGTGCAGGTGTGTGAGGCTGACTTGACTCACCTTGCAATGCTGTGGGGGGAACAGTGTGCATCCAGGCAATTCTTGCAGCTCAACAGAAACTTGTTACCTTGTGGGATCTTGTTTGTGTGTCTAAGCCCTAGATGTGCATACCTTGCTATTTCTGTTAACAATTGAAAACAAATATTTATTTAAATTTATTTGCACATCCTACACACAGATTGAGTGTAGGTGTGCTGACAGAAGGGAGATTTTAGGAAGGATTTCATAAAGGTGAAGGAAATGGCTTGGCAGCTGGGTTTCAAGGAGGCACCCCAAATGCAAGGAGCAACCCCAAACCATGGAGGGCCTTGTGATGGTATCGGGGTATGCACGGCTGGCAGAGGAGGCAGAGCTTGTGAGCTGGGGCAGCTGACCTGGCTTTCAGAGGCAGGTAGGCAGATTGTATAAACACACCATTAGCTTATGTATCTGCTACTCCAGTATTTCTCTTGTGGAAGCCAGTGGATTTTTTTTTTTTTTTTTTTTAATAAGGAGAAGATCAAGCTATTTTAGGGGGAATATTCCATTTTAGGTTGGGCATTGTACCCACTTTCAGGCTGAGGTGGAGTCACTAGAAGTGACAGAAATGCCCTGAACTCCTGTTAGTTACTTTGCTGCTCAAAATCTGTCCCTAACTAATACAAATTGCTATATGTCATAAAACACAAAGGAAAGCTCTTTTCCCACCAAATATCAGAAAAGTGCTCTCTTTTCTGAACTGCAGAAGTAACAGAAATGATGTGTTAATTTCACATTCTATTCATGTAGGCCCTAATAAAAGCTATTATAAAATACAATTGTGTGGAGACAAAAAGAGAGATAATATCACTATAGCTCAATATAAAATTTAAGTAATTAAGACATGAAAACTATTACACAATTTACTATGAATGCAATGTGAATAATAAAAGGTTTAACCATTTCAATTCTGTTTTGGTGTTTTGTTTTTTCTTTTTTCTTTTTTTTTTTATAGCATCTTTTGAAAATGTTTGAGGTTGAAATATTGAAATATAAAGATCTAAATTCCATTTTATTTCAGAAGTTGAGCAGGGCTGAAAAGTAAGGTTTTCCAAAGAAGTCTTGTATGTATTTTTAGCTATTGGTGTAAACTTGGCACTCTGCCACATAATGGATTCTACATGAAAAATGTCAGTTTCAGGTGATTTTGATTGTGGTTGTAAATAAAAGAGGACATACTGAGGAAGTATTTCAGCAGTGCAAGCTAAGCAGCTGCATAATAGATATGAAATTGTGTAGATAGACAGATGGGTCCCAAGATTAAAACAAAAGCATCCATAAGAGTACTGGAAAGAAAAGTATTTTTATACAGGAGGTCCTTGAGCTCTGCATTTTACTTTCACATGATTAAATACTGTGTTCTCTCTCTGATGGGCTTCAGCAACCCTATTGGTAAATGGTTGTGAGGAAAGCTTGCTTTTCTCTATTTGAGCGACTATCAGAATTCAGGGTATTTAATAGACATTTAAATAGAAATTTAAATACACATTTATATATTATATATATAAATGCATATATAAAAACAGACATTTAAAAGACATTATATTCTTGCGCACTGCCATATGCAAGACAGCGCCTGCTGACACTTAGCAACACCTCCTCAACGATCCATTGCAGTGACGATGTGCGCTTGTTCCCAGCTCGGATCTGCGTCCGGCGGTACCCTGGCTGTCCCGGCGGTGCTCGGGCTGTCCCGGCGGTGCCCGGGCTGTCCCGGCGGTGTCCGGGCTGTGCCGGCGGTGCTGTCCCGGCGGTGCCCGGGCTGTCCCGGCGGTGCCCGGGCTGTCCCCGCGGTGCCCGGGCTGTCCCGGCGGTGCCCGGGCTGTCCCGGCGGTGCTGTCCCGGCGGTGTCCGGCTGTCCCGGCGGTGCTGTCCCCGCGGTGCTGTCCCCGCGGTGCCCGGCTGTCCCCGCGGAGCTGCGCGGTGTCTCGGCAGGTGGCGCTCCTCCCCTGGGCTCAGCCCCAGCCCCGGCCGGCGCTGCGCGGGTGCGGGAGCGGCGCTCCCGCCGGGGTTACGCGGCAGGGCCTCGTCTTGCGCCGCTGGGGTGCCACGGACCAGCGTTTGCCAATGTCCAGGTTGGAATGCATCCTCCGCTGGATCAGTCTGGGTGCTTTGTGGGCCATCCCGGGCTTCTTTGCCATAGCAGAAAGCTCCACACCTGTCTTGTGCAGAGGAGAGGAGCAGGGACCGTCTTTAGCATCCAGGCAACATTTAGCCTCATTATCCAGATCACAGAATCACAGAATAATGAGGTTGGAGAGACCTCTAAGACCATCAAGTCCAACCTATGCCCTAACACCACAACCAGACTACAGCACCAAGTACCAAGTCCAGTCTTTTTATAAACATATCCAGAGATGGTGATTCCACCGCCACCCTAGGAAGACAATTCCAGTATTTTATTATTCTTTCAGTGAAAAATATTTTCCCAATATCCAACCTAAGTCTTCCCTGACGTAGCTTGAGGCTGTGTCCTCTTGTTCTGCCAGTTGCTGCCCTGTGGAAGAGATCGACCCCCACCTGTCTACAACCTCCCTTCAGGAAGCTGCAGAGAACAATAAGGTCACCTCTAAGCCTCCTCTTCTCCAGGTAAACAATCCCAACTCCCTCAAATGTTCCTTGTAGGGCTTGTCTTCCAAGCGCCTCCAAGATCTCCTCAAAAACCTATATAGGGAATGGAAACAATGTTTAGAGATCAGTAAGATGCAGCTCCGAGGTCCACTAAGCTGTTTAGGATGGAATTTTCAAAAAAAAGCTCACTGGTTTCACTTGGTAAATTTGAGGAGAGCTTGTTTACTAGGTATGCAGAAGTTGATGATCTGCAGTTCCATTTATCATAATTTTTTGGTACTCAAGCCATCATTTTCCCAAACTGGAGGCCTTAGTTTATAAAATCCTAGTCTTCAACATGCATTAATTTCTTGGTTATTTAATGGAATTGCTAATACATACATATTGTGGCTTCCAGGTGTGTAGTAAGGGATCAAATATTTGTAATGTGCTAGGAAACAAAATGTAAAAAAAAAAAAAAATTAACTGAGCAGTGTTTATATTTGTTGTTTTTGGTGAAGAATCTAATTGTGAAAATCATCTCCTGAACCTTTGTCATCTCACTCTTTTCCTATTGTCATGGCTTGTTTCAAACTGGGATGAATCCTCCCACACATCACAATGTATAAGCAAAATAATGATAAAAGGTGGTAATGATAAATTTGGCCCATAAAATTTAAATTTTTTTAATTGGTTCATTTTGTAAATCACTATTGCTTCTTAAAACTGCAGCAAACTTTTATCCAATAAAATTATACAAATGACTCAGATAACTCTATACTTTAGGATCAATCATTAAAACAAATAAAATAGTGCAAGTTACACAGGTCAAGTCTTAGGATAGGCTTTATAGGAAGGAAGAGTTGAAGGTTTGTGGTTTTGTAGTCTCGCCAGTAACTCATCCCATACATAGTTTAATATTTGAGATATAAATTATTCATGAACAGTTTTTAGTAATCAGTGAATTAGCCACTTGCAATTAAAAAAAATTGACCTCCTCTTCTTGCATTTAATCTGAGTGGAGTCAGTGTCATTGCTGTGTGATTGGGTCTCATCTATTTTTATCTGTTGTAGCAGCTGTTTTGATCCAAAATTGACAAAACCACCCTAGAAACCTTAAAAAAATTATATATATATAATATATATATATATATATATATATATATATATATATATATATATATATACTCCATGCAAAAAGACAATGCAAGCCATCCAAAAGTAGAGCTAACCTTTAGCCCTATGTTTTGGGCCTGGCTGAGGAGCAGTTATTTTTCCCTGAAGCAGTGTTCACAGTGCTGTGCTTTGCACTGGCAGCACAAAAAGTGGTAACACTGCAATGTTTTGGCTGCTGCTGAGGAGTGCTCTGTCAGCATAAATGCTGTCTCTCTAAAATTTCAACCCCAGCTCTTGACCCCCTCTGCCAGCAGTCTAAGAGTGGGAAAGATCTTGGGGGTTTGACAGTCTGGACAGCTGAACCAAACTGATCAAAGGGATAGTCCATACAAAATGGTGTCTGCTCAGCAATAAAGGCTGATAAACAGGAGGAGAAAAGGGGGGCATTTATTGTTGATGAAATTTGTGTTCTGGAGCAAGCACCAAATGTACTGAAGACCTGCTTTCCAGAAAGTTGCTGGACATACCTTGCTGTCTGGGAGTAGATTAAATTGTTTTGTTTGTTTGTTTTCTTTGCTTCTGCATTCTCAGCCTTTTCTCTTGTTCGGTTAAACTGTGTTTATCTTGACCAGCAAGGGTTGTTTTTCTTATTTTTACCTACCTATTTTTATTTTCTTATTTTTACCTACCTCTCCTGCCAAGAAGGGGAGTGATAGAGAAGCTTGGTGGGCAACCAATCCCACGTCATCCTACCACACAGCCACCAGAAATATCTAGAATGTCAGATCATATACACCAAATATTTTGATACTTCTACTTGGAAAAGTAATGCCATTTTAGAGTAGATGACTCTTCTGTTCCTTTAACAAATATGGACTGAAAGGAAACAATGACTTTAGAATATGAATTCTAAGAATTAAAAAATCTCAAAGAATTAAAATATATTCTTTGAAGATTTTTATGAGACAGCAACATGGATGATGCCAAATATCACGTTCTCCATTTTGCCAAGACCGCTTTGTTCCAGAGCCTCACTTTTTTCATCAGGCACAAACTGCTGACAGAATGTCAGTGAAATAGGAAAAGACATCATTTGGAACAGTTATTAATATAAAAACCAACCATGTCAGAAGAGGGTTAGCCATCCAAATGGACAATTTCAACAATACACAATTAAAATTGCATTATTTCCCTCCCTTGAGCTTAGAAAGAGGATAAATCTGCCTTGTGTTTATATTTTTCACTATTGTCATTGAAATAGTTAACACATTTAATTTTTTTAAAAAGCAGTTAAACCATGCTATCTACCATACCTTTGATTTCTTCTTATCTTCACTGTAAATACTTGTTTGTTCATATAGATTACATTGTAGAAAAGATAGTAACAAAACACCCTATGTTACCTTCTGTATTAGACATATGTAGGAGGCAGTGGATAGAGATGAGGAGTGTGCACTGAGACATTGAAGGCACTGTTTAGAGAGAGACAGAAAAACAGAAAGATAATTTAAAATAAAAAAACCCAAACAACTTAGGACAAGATTTCATAGAGAAAGGATGGCAGGTTACGTGAAAACATGTTGAGATGTCACAGGGAAATGTTAAGAAGCTTCAGACCCTGGAATTTGACTAGAAGAAAAGAACTATCTTTAAGAGAAATTTCAGTTAAGTTTCAGTGGAGTATAGACTGAAAATCTGATTTAATAGGTTCAAGAAGTAGGCTACAAGAGATTAATTCAGCAGGAAATTGTAGATGATATAGACAGATAGAAATTCAATAAGCTTGGCAAGAGAGGGGAAAAGCAGTCTGGATCCTAATGGCAGAAGTATCTGTGGAGAAGCATGGACATACAAAGGGTAAAAGAGACTTCTGCCCATATATTTCATCACAATTACCATAATACAGTGCAATAGATTCTAGTAAGAGCTGATTACACTCCTGTCAAAATTTTCATTATAGGACCCATTTATGCTCTGGCCTCTCTCTTAAAATTTGTCTTCTGGAAATTCTGAAAAAAACCCCCAACTTATCTTCATTTTCTACTAAGTTTATTAATTAAGACAATTAAAAAGTTTGTTCTTACTTCTGAGTAAAATATTTTTTCCATCTATTGTTATTAATTCTTAAAATAATAGGAAAATATTTTGCAAATTTTAATTTTTTACTAAACTTATAAAGGCAAAACTTTCCCCTCCAGTCATTTTAAAGTGGTAAGTAAGAATTTATTGCATTTAAAAGATA